TCTTGTCTTTTTCTTTTTTTTTGCCCATGGAAGTGAGTCGGTTAATGATGACTCATTTGGGAATACGCTTCTCTGCAAGCTGACCTGACAGGCTGTTCCTCCAGTGCAGCAACAAAGCCCATTGTTATTTTCCCTGTTCACTTTTATCCTTATCGCAATCCGTTTTTCCCCTGTCTTTTTATAGGATAAAACGTATGAGGAAACATAATTTAGGACAAAGCCAAAATAAGGTGGCATTTGAAATTAGCAAACTTTTAGTAAACAGATTGATCATATCATGTCGTTTTCATGTATGTGGACAGTGGCACTGTGTGCTAATACCGAGTTGGAGAGTTTGTGTCCCTTGAGAGTTTGTGTCTCCCGAAGTAAAAGGTACCTATAGTCATTCTTTATCCAAAAGGTAGCAGGGAAAATCAAAGAGCACATGAAGCTGTTTTTGCAGTTCCTTTTTTAAAAATTGCAAACTTGTTGAAGGTAAACGCAGAAAAGTCCATGGTTTAACCCTAAAGTGAACTGTTCTGGTTTATTGCTTTGTATTATAACATTAAAAACAATAATAACAGTAAACAAACAATTGAAAACAGAAGAAAACTGATTATCATTGCTTTAAACATCAAGGGATGTTTTTTAAATTCCGATTTTTAAATGATTTTTTTATTCCCAAATTGAATTCCTGTGTTAACTTACTGAGAAACCATTTTAATGGAACTTAAGATTTTTTTCCCCAAGTGAACTCCGTCTATCGTGGGGACTGGTAAACCTCTAAAGGATCAAAGCTCTAGTGGATTTGGATAAAGACCCAAAAGCCTGAAGGCTTATGCAAGTTTATCTATATAGAGTAAGCCCAAAAAACTGGGATGAGAGTCTTAGAAGAGCTTATTTTCTCATGAGATTTTTGGGACTTCCTCTGTCTGGTTGTGCCAGAAATACTGTGAGAATATCCATTCTCATGGCATTTGTCACTTACAGGTCTTGTCCCAGCTGGAATTTGAAAGTATAATGGTGTGTGAAATATTTCATGTATCTTAAGGCTTCATAAAGTCCACTACTGAAATTGCAGTTGAAAAACCTCTGCTCTTTTCACTGCATTCACACGGTAAAGAAAACATAGAAAAGTACAGTAAAGAGTGGTCGATGAAAGTGACGCCTAGGGGTCCTCTTTATGGATCTCAGTAACTTTAGGTTTTAATATTATTATTATTTCTCTCAGATATATTCCCAAGAGCTGGAACAAAGAAGAAGGGTACTGAGGGTACCTAAACCTGTATGTTGTGTTTTAACTTTTTTTATTTTTATGTTTTTGAGACAGTGTCTTTGTCACCCTCAGTAGAGTGCTGTGGTGTCAAAGCTCACAGCAACTTCAAACTCTTGGGCTCAAGCTGAGACTATAGGCGCCTGCTGCAATTTCCAGCTAGTTTTAGAGACATGGTCTTGCTCTTGGTCAGGCTGACCTTGGCCCCATTTTTTATTTTTTGTTAATATAGTATTTATTCCTGCATCACTGTATTAGAAACTCTTTGAAGGACCCTTGGACCTACTCATCTAGGACCTAGAGCTGATACCAACAAGCCTCCAGAAGTGTGATGTGAAAGAATAAATCCTGAACAAAACCTCTGGTGGTGCAATGTATCATCTTGTTAATGTCTGCTTTGCAGTTCCAGTCCTGAAGTCTTTTGTTCTGGATCCATTCCCTCGGTATATCTTGTCATCAGGTCCTTTGTTTATCCCTTACAATCTTACATGTCCACCTTGCTACTGAAACCACCTTGTTGAAGACTACTAAAGTTAATAGCTTTTTCTTTGAATTTGCCTTCCTGAACCTTGGCCTTATTGACCATTTCATTAATATGTGTTAATTCTTTACAGCTATGTTTATAAAATGCTAGCCATATCCAATAATATATATACTTCCCTATGACTATAAACATGAGTGTGAAATTTACACGACTTCCTTTACTCTCTCAGATGTGCTGGGTTTCAGATGGAGATTACATCATAAGCACAGTGGCAGGCTGAGAACTATAGATTTGCAATTTAAGTCATGACCAGGTGAACCATACATTTGGAATGTCTCAGTGAAGCACGTTATTTTCCTAGACCACTCCCACTATTTAAAAAGTTTAGCGACTGACTTCAATATCTGTACTGTCCCCTTGCTGAACAACTTCTTATTCCTGTGCTTCAATTAAAAGATTCCTTTAAAACTGAAATAACTTATCTTCCCACTGCTTGCCATTATCCATTCTCTAAGACAGAGACTCCTCACGACAGCTCGCACAAGGGCATCTCTTTATACCTCTCTCCTCCATGCCGAGAATATCCTTTTCTCGCCTGTTTTGTACAACTTTCAAAGCCTGTGTCATATCCCATCTCCTCCATGAGCCCCTTTCCCAGTAAAGTTGCTCCCACATCTGCTTATTTTTTGTTCTAGACAATTAGCATCTAATTATTCCTGTTTTGTGTATATTAGACTATAAGATCATGATTGTGATCTTAGTCTATGGCACTTAATATTTGTTTACTAATTGTGAAATCTGCATGGTGTACACAATTTGTGAATTTCACTAGCTTATGACATATTTAATGTTGCAGTCCGATTTCCTATTCACATTAGTATTAGCATAGTTGTCTAACGGTGAATGCTACAACTATTTACATCTATATTAGCCTTAGGTGTGTGAAAGGTTATTTGAATGACTGAACTATAAAACAGCTTTTCTATTCTTCCTCCTCAAATATAATATTGTAATAGGATTTCCCTCTTCATATGTTCTATTACTACAAAATTCAATGATATATGAGTATAATATTGTTTAATTTATTAAACACTTTAAAACATCTTGTGTATATTGTAAATGTTGTCTTTTGTCATGCTGAGACAGGTGTAGATTGCTTCTATTATAACTTTTATGTGTATTCTGAATTGGAAATTGGGAGGATAGAATGATAAAGATTTATTTTGTTTCCACGAATGTCTTTTCTTTCCCCTTACCTTGGAAAAGAAACACTTGTCAAAGTTTAACTTGATAATTCCATAGAGTAATGCGAAAAGATAGATTTGTGCCCAAGGAAGAAGTAGCATTTGGTTAAGCGATTATCCTAATTCCGAAAGCACTGTCATCTTGTTAGGATTTTTTAAAAAAGGAACTTTGACTTTTCATTGCCCCTGAAGCTACCATTATACACTGCTTGTGGTTTGTGAGTTCTCCCTTTCCCCGGAATCCACGCATGAGACTTTTTAGAGGGATTCTTTTGCTTTCCATTTAAAGTTGTTACCTTAATTGAGATTAGTTAAAATAAAAATTCGTGTGTGTAAGTTCCTCTACAAAACTCTTAAGTAGTAAGACTCACTGGAAAACTGCAATAATCAAGAAAACATGGTATTGGTGAGAGAAAAGACACATAGATCAGTGGAATACATATGTTATTTCAGAAGGAGGCCCATACATATATTTGATAGAATAGTTGATTTTTGACAAAGGCGAAAAGGCAATTAACAAAGAAACAATAATCTTTTTAACAACTGGTGATGGAACAATTAGACATTTATATTTAAATCAATGAACAGTGAATCCTTAATACAAATACAAACATTAAATTAAGTCACAGTTTGCCTTTGTTCTATGATTCAACATTGTGCTTAAAGTTGAAAGAAGAAATAAAATAAATAGAAGTCATCAGCTTGGAAAGCAAGAAGTAAAAAATAATCCCTTTTTTGAAAGTGACATAATTATGTATGCAGAAAATCCTAAGGAACCCCCAAGAAATTATTAGAGCTAAGAAGTCAGCAAAGTTGTAGGATAAAACATTAATGTACAAAAATTATCTGCATTTCTATACATTAGCAATGAATAGTCTGAGAAGTTAAATTAAGATAATTACATTTACAAGTTGCATGTAAAGGAACAAAATCATTAATAATAAACAAGTGTAAAACTTTTACCCTAAAAACTACAAAACAATGTTGAAACTAACAAATATCTAAATGAATGGAAAGACATCCCAAGTTCTTGGATTGTAAGACTTAATATTGTTAAGGTGGCTGTGCTCCCTAAATTGACTTCCAGATTCAACATAATCCCTATCAAAGCCTGGCTGGGTCGGGTGTGGTGGCTCACACCTAAAATCCTAGCACTCTGGGAGGCCGAGGTGGTGGATTGCTTGAGCTCACAAGTTCAAGACTATCATGAGCAAAAGTGAGACCCCTGTGTCTACTAAAAATAGAACTGAGGCAAGAGGATCACTTGAGCCTAAGAGTTAGAGGTTGCTGTGAGCTATGACGCAATGGCACTCTATGTAGGGCAACAGGTGAAGACTCTGTCTCCAAAAAAAAAAAAAAAAAAAAAAAGCCAGCTGGATTTTCCCAGAAGTTGACAAGGTATAAGTAAAAGCAGCAAGTTTTGTTGGAGGTAATGACCTAAAAGGGCAAGAAACCACACTGACTATTTTTATATTTTTAGAAAGATAAAGAGTAGACTGGATGCAGTGGCCTATGCCTGTAATCCCAGCACTCTGGGAGGCTGAGGCAGGTGGATTGCTTGAGCTCAGGAGTTCAAGACCAGCCTAAGCAAGAGCAAGACCCCATCGCTACTAAAATTAGAAAAAGTAGCTGGGCTTGGTAGTGAGCCACCTGCACTCCCAGTTCCCCGGGCAGCTGAGGCAGGAGGATCCCTTGAGCCTAGGAGTTTGAGGTTGCTGTGAGCTACACCATGATGACACTCTACCCAGGGTGACAGAGTGAGGCTCTGTCTCAAATTAAAAAATAGAAGAAAGAAAAGATAAAGCATTCACCCCTCCATTCCCAAAGACTGAAATCTGTTTATAATCAAGTCCCACTCGGTATTACCAGAATACTTTGGTTTCTTCCCATCCTCTTAACTGTAATTCTCTTGGCATCACTTCTGTGTTTGGTGCCTTTCTTAAATGATTACTGGAGTCAGTGAACCCTATCAGAGATAGGAGGTTTTCCTCAGTGATAACTTTGATTTTTCTTTTTATAGGGAAACTGAACAGCCAAGACTCCTACAACAATTTTACCAACAACAACCCTGGCAACCCTCGCCTTTCTCCTCTCCCCAGCTTGATGGTGGTGACGCCTCTCGCACAAATCAAGCAGCCAATGACATTGGGGACCATCACCAAACGGACAGGGTAAGGCCTCAGGCTTGCTGCTTTTTTAACAGCTGTTTTGGAGCGTTGAATGAACAGAAACAAAACATACTTTTTCTGTGTGTGGTTTTGATTATGTTCTTCATTTCCAGCCCATCTGAGACTTAATGGCATCAGACGAAGTACAAAGTATAGACCTTGCACAAATAGACTCATACACAACCATGTACACACACATTCACAGAAAAAACAAAGCAGTGACAAGTTGTGAAACTAGTATTAGCTAATAAAAGCCAGATCCATCTACTCAGTCTTAAACTCGCTGCCTTGTGGCTTTGCCTGAAAGTATAGTTTCATTTTCTTGGCTCTTGTGAACATGATGAGAATTTAAAATGACTCCTAAATTTTGACAAGACACAAATACTAAGGAGTGAACTTTAGATGACAGCTATATTTCTGATACTTAAAAACATCATCTAAATTTAGGTACAATTTATACATAATAATCTGTCATTAATGTCAGGACAATGTGATATTATCGGTGGTTTTCAAAATCTAAAGTACTAAGATTTGGGCTTTATTCAAGATTGGTCATAACCATTCTCAAAGACTTTCGATGGCCCACTTTTTTAGGAATATAAAATTATCACTTCACTGGGCTACTAGAAATAAAATGCTATGTGTATAATATCTTTAGGTATTCACTTGCGTTCTAACACTGAAAATCCATTTTGTGCCAGAAAATATATATGTCTATAGGCAAATTATTTGTTTTCCTTAGTGAGCAACCCTGATGTTTAAGCTAATTTGAAATGGAACAACTGCTTTAAAACTCTATATTAAAGTAGTCACAAGAAAACCCTGTCTTGACCTCAAATAATCTTCGGGTCTTTCCAACAAAAGGAATAGATTAAATTGTTTGGCTACAATGTTAATATATTTTAACATCATTGTGTTCAGTGTTAATGTGTTTACAGAAGTCACTTTTGTGAGAAAAAGGACTCAGTGTTCTTGGGCAGGACATAGATGTTGGCTCTCTATCTGCACAAGTAGTATTTGTGTATAAAGGGATCCTACTTCTATATGCAGAAATAAAATTGAGTTTGTGGCATGTTAAGGGTAAAAATGGAAGAATATAGCAAACCTACAGGGTGGCCATAAAGTTTGTGTATAATTTAAATAGTTAGAACTATTTAATTGCAAGTGTTTAAATAGTTACTACAATTTATTTGCACATGAACTTCATGGCCACCCTGTCTATCCCAAGTCAGACATTGTAAGGTAGTGATCATTTGGTCTGTATTATATTTTAATTGATTTCAGCTTTTTAACTCTTTGTGTTCAGTAGAACTATAATTTTAAACTGAATTTCAATTTTCTCTTTCTCTGTTAGTTTCTTTATTTTAATATAAGTTAATAATAGCAGCTCTGACTACTGAGGGGGTTATGTCCTTATATTTATTGTAACAATTATCTTATTAAACATATTACATTCCTGACATGTGGACTCAAATAAAAATGAGACTAAATCTCGAATCGTAATTTGAGGGTTTTTTTCACTTACTGAGGTCAGTCTGTACATAATGGTATCTTTTTAATTCACCTCAGCATTGTACACTCCTACAAAGTATTTACACATTTTTGCCTGTCTTTTCTGAAATTAAGTAAAACCATCCTCAGAATCGTTCCTCTGTAATCTAATTTTATATTCAGAGTGAGGGGAATATAAGAAGAAAGTTCAAAAGGTTCCTGGAGACATGAAAGCATATTCTGGTGCTTTGTTTCAGGCATTCGTTTGTTCGTTTGTTTTTGAAACTTACGAGTGATGATGTTTTGTGATGGAAAGATTAGCTCTATTTTTCTATTGTGCATCTCCAAATATATCTCTGAGATAGTGACTGAATTTTTATGCATAAAATGGTATGATATTAGAATTAAATTCATAGTTATTTGTGGGGAGGGGTGGGAAGTGAGTCTACTTTCATACGTAGTATTTGAAATTTTCCATAAGTAGAAAAAAATCTCTCACTCTCTTTTGCTACCCTCTTTCTTTCTCCCCTAGGACAAATAGAAATTATTAATTATCAGGCGTCCTCCTGTGCTCCCCTACTTCTGTGAACTTAGATAAATCCTTTATGATTCCTTTTCTTGTCTAGAATTTTCTCACAATTCTCAGATTTTTGGAGCATGTAGACTGTTGTATTGTGGACAGAATCATTAATAACGAAATGTTAGGAGTTGAGTCATTTGGTGTGCTTTGAAACTAATGTTAGTGTAAGATAACTCGTAGCATATTATTGCCTGGTCTCTGTATCTCCATTTTCAAACCATTTCATTTCTGCCACATTTTAGAATTCTTTTTAGCATGCTCTGGGTTGAAATTTTTAGGGAGAATAATTCATACGTCTCCCACTATTTTAATTTTTTTGTGCGTGACATAGTTTCAGACTATAAAAAATGTTGCAAGATCAGCAAAAAGAATTCCTGTATGCCCAACTTTCCCAAATGTTAATAGCTTAGCTTATTGCTGTGGTATTCACAGTGTCTCACTTTGTCTGCATATACAATAATGCATGGGGTCTTCCCTAAATGTTTCAGAATAAGTTGCAGACTTAATCTCTCCTTATCCCTACATTCTTCAGTGTATAATTGTAAAGGCAAGGACATTCTCTTACATGAGCACAGTACAAATACCAAGAGATCTTAAAATGTATTTTATTAGTTGCTTTTTTATTCCACGTAATTGTGGCATGTAATGAATTTTCTACTTGTGGCGGAGCTTTAGGGCACTACAAATTACCCAACCTTCTATTCTTTCTTGCCTCCCCACAGGTTATTTTTGGTATCCCTTCCTGTTAATATAAAGGATATACAGTGACTAATAAAGACTTTGATGATAATGGTCACAACTTATACTTGACCATATTTACCCTTAAACTGCCCTCTAGAGTCTGTTGATTATATTCAGAAACTGCTATTGTCACTTCGCTTGTCATTCTTTTATTGTAGGTTACCCTAACCATTTGCTCATAGTATTTTCAGAATATAATTGTGGTTTTATTATCTTAAAATTTAACATTTTAATTAAAATATTCGTACATGTATTTCATCTTATCAAAAGTATTATTTGATTTGTAAGAACAAAATATATTCTCTGAAATTCCATTTTTCTCATATTCTGAGTTTTTTTTTTTTTTTTTAGACAGAACCTTGAGCTGTTGCCCTTGGTAGAGTGCCGTGGCATCACAGCTCACAGCAACCTCCAACTCCTGGGCTCAAGCAATTTTCTTGCCTCAACTTCCCAAGTAGCTGGGACTACAGGCGCCCACCACAATGCCCGGCTATATTTTGGTTGTAGTTGTCAGTATTATTTGGCAAGCCTGGGCTGGATTCGAACCTACCAGCTCTGGTGTATGTGACTGGTACCTTAGCTGCTTGAGCTACAGGCGCTGAGCCTCATATGCTGAGTTTTAAGCAAATCCCAGATAATAGATCTTCTCATTACATTTCTTTTTTTTTTTTTTT